CCCCCCCCCCCCCCCGTTTAGGCATGAAAGCTGGCTGGGGGACTTTGGGCCAATCACCAGGAGGTGGTGAGTTCTAGTCCCTCCCCTTTAGGCATGAAAGCTGGCTGGGGGACTTTGGGCCAATCACCAGGAGGTGGTGAGTTCTAGTCCCTCCCCTTTAGGCATGAAAGCTGGCTGGGGGACTTTGGGCCAACCCCTCTCTCTCAGCCCAATCCACTTGACAGGATTTTTGTTATGGGGAAAATAGGAGAAAGAGTAAATTTAGGGTACGTTTGCTGCCTTGAGTTATTTATAAATTATTATTATTATTATTATTATTATTATTATTATTATTATTATTATTATTATTATTATTATTATTGGAAGATCTGCAAGAAATATCATTTGCCTGTAAGCAAGAACTGGTGGGATCATAAAATAGAGAAAGTCATAGAAAATGATAAAATTAAAACTGCTCTGGGACTTCAGAATTCAACCAGACAAGCACCTGCAACATAACACCCCGGACTTAACAATTGTCGATAAGAAAGACAAAAAAGTCTGGATAGTGGACGTGGCAGTACCTGGAGACAGCAGAATAGACGAGAAAGAACTGGAGAAGATAACAAAATACAAAGACCTACAAATAGAAATAGAAAGACTGTGACAAAGGCAAGCAAGGGTAGTACCAATAGTCATAGGCGCCTTGGGTGCAATCCCAAAACAACTGGAGCGCCACTTGAACACCATCATCGGCATTGACAAATTCGCTATTAGTCAATTGCAAAAGGCAGCCTTCCTAGGAACTGCTTCCATCCTGCGACGATATCTGTAATACCATCAAACATCCACATCTGCCTATCCCAGGTCCTTGGGAAGGACTCGATAGGAAGACAAAAATGCCCAATCCAGTCTGAACATCTGGCTGACTGTGCGATGAGCAATAACAACAACAACAACAACAACAACAACAACAACAACAACAACAATAATAATAATAATAATAATAGTAATAGTAATAGTAATAATAATGTATATAAAAATAACAAAGAGTTGAACTGACTGGCTTTCGTGCCTTGTTGCTGAGCAAGGACAAGACTGGACCTTGTGACCACAAGTTCAGCAACACTCTTAGCGATTGCAGTCAAAAACAAAGAATTCACTTCTGCTTTATTGAGTGTGCCTCATCATAACCTTTTTTTCCCAGGAAACTCTCTTGTGTGTCATCCTCAGCTAGCATGGTGTAAGATGCTGAGTTTGACAATTGTTCAGTGTTGCAGGCAGCTGTGTCCTTCCTCTGGTTTTTAATCGTCTCCCAAACACCCGGCGAGGTAGGCAAAGCGGAGATCAAGACAGCTGGCTGGATGGATTTTGTCCCCGCATTCCTAGCCATCCCTCTGCCCTTCCTAGCCAACTTCTGGGGCATCTGCATTGATTCTTTTCCGAGCTTGATTCTCTCAGGGTTGTCTTTCAAGGAGAATATTTGTAGCTCAGATTTGAACCGTGGGGTCCTTGGCGTTCTCCGAGCTTGGTTGTTTTCTTACAGACGTTTCATTACCCAACTATCTAACATTCTCAGTGCTAGTAGGGAATGGGGGTTTGCTCTCAATTTATATTCTAGCGCAGTGTTTCTCAACCTGGGCAGTTTGAAGATGTGTGGACTGCAACTCCCAGAATTCCCCAGCCAGTTAGAATTCTGGGAATTGGAGTCCACACAGCTTCAAACTGCCCAGGTTGAGAAAAGCTGTTCTAGGGACTTGCCCTGTCGTTGTTGGTGGGAGCGGTCTTGGTGATTCTTTGGTTGGGCTGTTTACTATTAGCTTGTCAGGCAGTTCCTGGATTGGGGTGTGGTTTATTCTTGATGGCTGGTCTGATGTTAAGATCAAAACACCTTCCTTCCAGCAATCAACACCCATTTCAGCATAGATTAACACCAAGGTTGACATCAAACCATCCATCAAGAAGTAAACAATACCCCAAACAAGGAACTGCCGAGCAAGCTAGCCGTACTACCAAAGAACCACCAAGACCACTCTCACCAACAGGGACAGGACAAACCACTAGAACAGACATGTCAAACACAAGGCCCGGGGGCCAGATGCAGCCCGCGAAGTGGTTTCATATGGCCCGTGAAGCCATCCTGGAAACAGTGAGAGAACGGCCCCTGCTGCCTTGGCCCTGGCCCAGGCCGGCCGGGAGCCAATGTACAATTTTGTGGTGGCCATCTATGCTGAAACGTATTCAGTCTTAGCTCCACAAGGCCGTCCGGAAACAGCGAGGAACCATCCCCTGCCACGTCGCCCCACCCCCTGGGTGCATGCTGGGGAGGTGTCACCCTTTGTGCGGAATGAAGAAATGGACCATGCCTTGGCACTTGCCCCGGTCCCACCCCCTTCTGCCAGAGACCCCCAGATCTGTCCCACTCCTGCCCAGGCCCCCACAGGCACCCTTGACGCGAACGATGTAGAGCTGGCCATGCCCACCCAGTAGGCCACACCCACTCCATCTACGCCGCACCCACCCTGGCCACACACACCACCACCCCCGAGGGCAACTGCAATGCTGATGCGACCCTCAATGAAATTGAGTTTGACACCCCTGCACTAGAATATAAATAGAGAGCAAACCCCACTCCCTGCTAGCCCTGATGATGTTACCTAGTTGGGTGATGAAACGTCTGCAAGAAAACGACCAAGTGCAGAAAAAGCAAAGGAGCCCTCAGAGTCGTCTTTAGCAAGATGTATTTAAGGAAGAGGGAAGCCATTGCAGAAATTGTTGTTAGGATACCTGGTGTTGCTACTCAGTCCCTCTCTCTCCCTTCTTTCTCCGTAGGCCCGGCTCAGATTTCCCATTGATTACCCTTATTCGCCGCCTGCCTTCCGGTTCCTGACCAAAATGTGGCATCCCAACATATATGAGGTACGTGCTTGGGCCAGGGCTGGACGTGAGCCTGATGTGGGTAATGAAACATCTGCAAGAAATGGANCTCGGTATTCATTTCAATCTTCCTTATTCGGTCTCTCGTGCCCCGGAGGATCGGAACCCACCCCCCCCGGGCAGTCAGTCCTAGGCTGCAACAACAGAGGTTTACTATCAAGATCATGCTAAGTGTTAGCACCTCTTTGTACCGTACTGGTAAGATCTCGCTTGAAATATTGCACCCAGTTTTGGTCTCCACAATATATAAAAAAAAAACGTTGAGATTCTGGAAAGAACGCAGAGAAGAGCAACAAAGATGATTAAGGGACCGGAGGCTAAAACAGTTGCAGGAATCGGGGATGTCCCTAGTAAGGTGAGAAAAAGGACCAGGGGTGACATGATAGCAGTTTTCCAATATTTGAGGGGCAGCCACAAAGAAGAGGGAGTCAAGCTATTCTCCAAAGCCACCTGAAAGCAGGACTAGAACTAATGCATGTCAACTAATCAAGGAGAGAAGCAACCTAGAAATAAGAAGAAATTTCCTGACAGGAAGAATAATTAATCCGGGGAATGGCTTGCCTTCAGAAGCTGTGGGTGCTCCATCACTGGAGGTTTTTGTTAAGAAAAGCCATTTGCCCAGAATGGTATAGGGCAAGTATGGCGAATCTTTTAGAGACTGAGTGCCCAAACTGCAACCGAAAACCCACTTATGCATCGTCGAGTGCCGTGTGAGTGTGGCCCATTGGCTAGGCGTGGCCCATTGGGTGGGCGTGGCTGCAGTGGTAATTGCAGACTGGGTGGGATTAAAAACTTCAATCAATCAATTCCAACTTTGCAAGATCTTTTTCTTTCCTGTGAGAAGTTGAAATTGACTGATTGAACTTTTTTTTTTTTTTTTTGCACACAGTGGCGGAGGCCTAAAGCGAAAAGGTTTTATAAAACCCAGCTGAAGGCCTAGGACTGGGGCGACGGCGTGCGTGTGCCCACAGAGAGGGCTCTGAGTGCCGCCTCTGGGACCCGTGCCATAGGTTCACCACCACTGGTATAGGGCTTCCTGCTTGAGCAAGGGGTTGGACTAGTAGTGTAGATATACAGATAGTCCTCACCTTAAAACCATTCATTTGGTGACCATTCAAAATTACAATCACTAAGTGACTTATGACCATTTTTCACACTTACAATCATTGCAGCCATCCCCAGGGTCACATGATCAAAATTAGAACACTTGGCCACTGACTCGTAATTTATGACGGTTGCAGTGTCCTGGGGTCATGTGATCCCCTTTTGCAATCTCCTGACAAGCAAAGTCAATGGGGGAAGCCAGATTCACTTAACAACTGCGTTGCTAACTTAACAAAGGCAGTGATTCACTTAGCAACTGTGACAAGGAAGGTCGTAAAATAGGGCAAAATTCACTTAACTGTCTCACTTAGCAGCAGAAGCTTTGGGCTCACTAGTGATCATAAGTTGAGGACAACCTGTAGCAATAAGGAAAATGCAGTGATCCCGTGACTGCGGAATACTGCAAACAGCCATAAATGAAGCCATTTTGCCAGCACCTGAAGTTTGGTCATGTGACCACAGAGGCCTGTCTGCCAGTACTCCAAATCTGGGTCATAGATCTCCTTTTTTAGGCCGGTCATCACTTCAAATGGTCTCTAAGCAACCAGTCACAAGTCGAGGACTAACTGTATAACCTGGTCTATCCCCTTAAGCCAGGGGTGGGGAACTATGGCCCTTTAATGACTTGTGGACTTCAACATGGCTGGCTCAGGAATTCTGGGAGTTGAAGTCCACAAATTATAAAGAGGTTATCGTTCTCCATGCTGGCTCAGGAATTCTGGGAGTTGAAGTCCACAAGTCATAAAGGGGGCCATAGTACCTCACCTCTGCCTTAAGCCCTCGTATGGTACATTTCCTTGACCACTGTATGTTCGGTGAACATATCCTTTGTTTACATGTGAGGTAAATCATCTGGATTTTGAATGAACGTTGTGTGAACTCAGCCTGTGTGTGCAAGCGTGCAAAGCAGACAACATGATTTATACATTCCAGACAGGAGATGTTTGCATTTCAATTCTACATCCTCCAGTGGATGACCCACAGAGCGGAGAGTTACCTTCAGAAAGGTGGAACCCAACGCAGAATGTAAGGTGAGTTTTCCTGCCTTCCTTCTTAGCCACATTTAAAAATATTTTTTAAAAACAGATCCCTCACTTTGTGCTATGGAACAATAGTCTAATCCAGGGGTAGGCAACCTTGGCTCTTTTATGACTCGTGGACTTCAACTCCCAGAATTCCTGAGCCAGCATGGCTCAGCATGGAAACCTCTCCCTTTCCCCTCAGCATGGCTGGCTCAGGAATTCTGGGAGTTGAAGTCCACGAGTCATAAAAGAGCCAAGGTTGCCTACCCCTGGTCTAGCTGAAGAAACTGGGATATTAGTAGCTGGAATACAACTACAGAAATGAAAACAATGCTAAGATCTGGCCATCCCCCCCCCATTTAAGTTCCTTTTAGTTTAATACAGGTAGTCCTCGACTTACAACAGTTCATTTAGTGACCATTCAAAGTTACAGCGGCACTGAAAAAAGTGACTTATGACCGTTTTTTACACTTACAACCTTTGCAGCATCCCCGTGGTCACGTGATCCAAATTAAGACGCTTGGCAACTGACTCATATTTATGACAGTTTCAGTGTCCTGGGGGGGTGTCACGTGATCCCCTTTTGCGACCTTCTGACAAGCAAAGTCAATAGGGGAAGCCGGATTCACTTAACAACCGTGTTACTAAAAAAAGGCAGTGATTCATTTAACAACTGTGGCAAGGAACATCATAAAATGGGGAAAACCCACTTAACAAATGTCTCACTTAACAACAGAAATTTTGGGCTCAATTGTGGTCCTAAGTCGAGGACTGCCTGTACTTTATGTTAATAAACCTGCAAAGCAGAGGCCCACAGCTTTGATGGGCTGAACCTCCGAAGTCTCTTGGGGTTTATACATTCTGCAGGGGACACAATCCAGAAATTAAGCAGGGCTAGGACAAAGATTTAACTTACATTCACATGTACAAGTAAATCCTCACCTTACGGCCATAATAGAGCCTGCTTTTTACAGTCACAAGTTGTGACATTTGTAAAGCACATCACCATGTGACCAGAACCGTTTTTACAGACTTTTTGTTTTGTTTTGCAGTAGTTGTTAACACGGTCATTAAGCAAACCCACTATCCCCTATCACTGTTTTACCAAAAAGTAAATACAGTTAGTCCTTGACTTACAGCAGTCCACTTTACTGACCGTTCAAAGTTACAGCGGCACTGAAAAATGTGACTTAGGACCATTTTTCACAGTTATGACCTTTGCAGCAGCATCCTGATCACGTGATCAGAATTCAGAGGCTTGGCAACTGGCTCATACTTATGACGGTTGCTGTGTTCCCGGGGTCACGTGATCCCCTTTTGCCACCTTCTGACAAGCAAAAATGGAGGAAGCCAGATTCGCTTAACAACCGGGTTTCTCGCTTATCAACTGCAGTGATTCGCTTAACAACTGTGGCCAGAAAAGTCGTAACATGGGGCAAAACTCACTTAACCAACGAATCATTTAGCAACGAAAATTTTGGGTTCAATTGTGGTTGTAAGTTGAAGACTACCTGTACCTGTTTTCAGAAAAAATGTCACAAATCGCAGCCGCATGACTTATTGGGCAATGCAGGCTGATTCCTTCATGCCTGAAATGCGGTCATATGGGGAGATAATTAATAATAATAATTAATAATTAAATAATGATGATGATGTTGTTGAAAGGGACCTTGGAGGTCATCTAGTCCAACCCCCTGCTCAGGCAGGAATCTCTATACCATTTCAGACAAATGGCTGTCCAATCTCTTCTTAAAGACTTCCAGTGTTGGAGCATTCACAGATGGCTGTCATAACTTCAGAAATGGATACGTTCAGGTAGTCCTCAATTTATGACCACAACTAAGCCCAAAATTTATGTTGCTAAGTGAGACAGTTGAGTGTTTGCCCCATTTTAGAACCTTTCTTGCCATTGTTGTTAAGTGACTCACTGCACCTGTTCAGTTAGCAGCATGGTTGTTAAGTGAATCCGGCTTCCCCCATTGACTTTGTTTGTCAAAAGGTCACAAAAGGGGGTCATGTGACCCCGGTTCACCGTCATAAATATGAGTCAGTCGCCAAGTGTCTGAATTTTGACCCTAACGGAGATGCTACCAAGAGTTGTAAGTGTGGAAAACAGTTGTAAGTCACTTTTTTTCAGTGTCATTGTCACTTCGAACGGTCACTAAATGAACTGTGGCAAGTCGAGGATTACCTGTGGCTTTTGAGTGGTCCATCGTGACTTCAAATCGTCACCGAGCGCTCACGTCTTAAACCAAGGACCACCTGTACTTAAATTAAGCGGCGTTATTTTAATACGCTATTTTAAAAAAAATGTTTTTCCCTATCAGAACAATCCTCCTTAGCGTGATCTCGCTCCTCAACGAACCAAACACGTTTTCTCCGGCCAACGTTGACGCTTCGGTGATGTACAGAAAGTGGAAAGAAAGCAAAGGGAAAGATCAAGAATACACGGACATCATCAGGTTAGTGGGCCACCCAGTTTGGGAGATGAACTGGTCACACTGGACTCCTCCCAGTCCTGCAGTTATTATAGGTTCTCCTCGACTAATGATGATGATGATGATGATGATGATGATGATGATGATGATGATGATGATGATGATGATGATGAAGTTGGAAAGGACCTTGGAGGTCATCTAGTCCAACCCCCTGCTCAGGCAGGGAACCCTATACCATTTCGGACAAATGGCTGTCCAGTCTCTTAAAAACTTCCAGTGTGGGAGCATTCACCGCTTCTGGAGGCAGGTTGTTCCACTGGTTAATTGTTTTAACTGTCAGGAAATTTCTCCTTAGTTCTAGGTTGCTTCTCTCCGTGATTAGTTTCCATCTGTTGCTTCTTGTCCTGCCTTCAGGTGCTTTGGAGAATAGCTTGACTCCCTCTTCTTTGGGGCAGCCCCTGAGATACTGGAACACTGCTATCATGTCCCCCCTCGTCCTTCTCTTCATTAAACTGGATATACCCAATTCCAGCAACCATTCTTCATATGCTTTAGCCTCCAGTCCCCTGATCATCTTTGTTGCTCTTCTCTGTACTCTTTCCAGAGTCTCAACATCTTTTTTACATCGTGGTGACCAAAACTGGATGCCGTATTCCAAGTGTGGCCTTACCAAGGCCTTGTAAAGTGGTATTAATATTTCACGTGATCATGACTTAATGGCCTTAATAGATTTGCCTGTTACAGGCGTAAGTCATGTGACTGACCTGTTATTGTTTTTTAACCTTTTTTTGTGGTGGTTGTTAAACAAATCATCACGGTGTTAAGGAATTCTGGGAGTTGAAGTCCAGGAGTCATAAAAGAGCCAAGGTTGCCTACCCCTGGCCTAGTCTAACAAAAAGAAGGACTGGGGGTGACAGGATAGCAGTCTTCAAGTATTTGAGTGGCTGCCACAAAGAAGAGGGGATTGACTTGCTATCCAAAGCACCAGAGGGCAGGACAAGAAGCAGCGGATGGAAACTAACTAAAGAGAGATCCAAGCTAGAACTAAGGAGAAACTTCCTGACAGTGAGGAAAATTAACCAGTGGAACAGCTTGCCTGCAGAAGCTGTGAGTGCTCCAACACTGGAGTTTTTTAAGAAGAGCTGGACAGCCACTTGTCTGAAAAGGTATAAAGTCTCCTGCTTGAGCAGGGGGCTGGACTAGATGACCTGCAAGATCCCTTCCGATTCTGTTATTCTGTAATTCTGAACTGTTGCAATCTGGGCAAATTGCAGAGTTTAATCATGGGATCTTAGCAGAGACCGTTTGGTGGAATCACAGTGGAAGTGGGATGTGTGTG